ACGTTTATCTTAGCATATAATGTATTTTCATTCTCTTACTAGTCATGCCAATTTCCTCTCCGGTGCTCGTGTTACTTTTATTCACTAAGTTCAGCCATAGTTTCTTAAATTCATATCAAGATAAGATTGTTTAATCATAATTTATGTTGAGCAATAGACCAGTGCTCATGCCTTTATAATGACATTCAGTTAGTCAGTCAGCTACAACGTAGGACCAGGCACATATGTGCATCCATCCAAGTTGCCATACCTAATTAGCACCGGATTCATAGAAGTAGATAATTCAGTGGTGGTAATATATTAAAGAAATATTGCATATATGGACATAGTACAGGAAGAAGGAATCAACAATGACATTGGATTCATGTGACCGAAATCCTGGTGTAGTATATGAGTGTGTTCATAAATCTGCTCGATGTTCGTGGCTTTTAAGTAATGTTCATCTACGATTGGCCAAAACGGAATATATTGGTTCACTTTTTGTACTGGCTCCTTCATTCTTATATACTGACTAAAACCACCGTTCTAGAATGAATGACTTCACAACTGGTGTAGCTGCTAGATCTTTAGTCGCCCATAATCATTATTTTATACTTATGGATATTCGTTTTTACTTCTAGTAAATTAGTATGTCTAAAAGCCTTCTTCCAGAAAAAAGCATGTGATCTGTTGGTATACTTCATATTGTTATTGTGCTTTGGAACATTAAAGGACGAATAAATATCAGATACCAAAGCATTTCGGTAACTAGACGAAACAGATACTAACCGAGAAGATTCGAAGTAAAATATTGATCGCTTAAAGTATTATGAAAGTAGGCGCATTTATTCCCAATTTACTTGTTCCTTTTCCACCTACGTCCCACCGGAAAGCATAAACGAACTTTTTTTCCTGGAAAAACTACCTTCCAAATCAAAGAAACTGGTCAATATATTAAATTTATCACTGCTCGTAATATTGAACTACCTACTTTTAATCACACCACCTCTAGATTCTGCTACTGACACCTTTTATGTTATCAAATATCGGTAACCTAATTATTGGTCGACAAAATGTATTCTCCTCTCATATTTTCAGTAGCACAAGAATCACCGCTTTAATGTAAATCTCTTCCTCTTACTTTTTCTAACTTGTCAGCTGAAGTTTAGGAAATAGTCAACGAACCTTTCAAAACATTGCAAACTATACACTGTGTATCTCATTGTATGATCGTGTTAGATGTATATTGTTTCCTAGATGTACATTCTGCTTTTGTTTGTTCAGTTACTCATAAGTAGCGGAGGACTTTGCAGAAATCTGCATCTGTCAAAATTGTTTAACTTCATATTCTCACAGAAAAGGATTAACAAAATGTAAAACTGAAGGAGCGAAAACGCTAATGAAAATGGTAAACGATGAATACGAACTATTGTTCGTAGGGAACAGATAAAATCAAGTTGTTAACACTACCAAGTTAAGCTCAAAGCTGAAAAGTGAAGAATACATCTACTCAAACTGTTTTTTGATCATTTCACTTGAGGTGTGTAGTCATAGATACTGATAAAAAGGGATTGGAAGGTTGAAGGTAGTCATTTATGGGTTTTAGTGTGCCTTTGATTGCACGTCAAGTTCTAGGTTTTATTATAATTATGAACTAGTGTAACTAGTGTACTCAGTCATTCTGTTAGCCCTATTTATCTGGGAAAGCACCAGTTGATTGAATGAAGTCCCTTACTTGTTAGAGGGAAATGGTAGATTACCGTGAAGGGAACGTTTCAAAATCCGCTGCAAACGCTACTAAATCCACCTTGCCTTTTTCATCCTCATAGAAATCTCATGATATCATGCCTTTTTTCTGAGGCTACTCATGTTCTTTCTAATAACAATTTTGGGATTATTCTTCTTGCTCTTCAACAAACAAGTTTGTTTAGTCTGATTCGTTATAGTATTCCATATTGTTTTGTATGTATGTTTTCTCCCTTCAGTGGATATTTGACAAAACCAAACAGCACAATAATGTTATATATTGTTTTGAAGAGACTTGATTTTGCAATCGCATCAGGTCTGCGTTGGCTATCAGCTGGTAAGCTTACTCGGTAAAATGTTAGGCCGTGTTCTCAAATAGCCCTGTTAAAGAAATTGAGTAAATATACCTATGCCATTGGCAAAGATATCATGTCTGTTTATCTCTATTCATCTTTCCATTTGTAAAACAGTTCAGAAAACAAATCAAATATCATATTACAATGTCAACGTGATTAAAAAAAGTTGCTGTTAAATAGTTTCCTAGTCATAATGTTATAGGCGATGAAGATTTAATCAGTAGTGTTATTATTTGAATCACATCGCTTTGGCCCGTTTTTAGTATCATAAATACGACATAATTTGTTTTATGGAGAAATGAAGTTTGTTGTTTTTCCGTTTAGTATTTCGCTCCTGAATGCTATTCAAGTTTTAGGATTCCCCTAAATAGTTTTAGATTCGTTTCTATTTTGCTTACAGAAGGGAATTTCTGCTGTAGTTTGAACGTATGTAGTCTATATTCATTACTAGTATTGTAGAACTGTCAATTTCTGACTAAGCATGATAAATATCTTTAATATAATTATTTAATCACCGTTTTATGACTCTCTGGATCTTATAACTTTTCACAATTAGCCATTAGACAGTGATCGCTGAGAATTCGTTTCCATTTTCTACCTAGTTTAGGGAAATGGTATAAAACTAGTTACGTGCTATAATTGTGCCATGGTCTCATCGAAAAAGTGTTCATCCAATCTGCTACTCACTGTTTTGTCCCATCTTACTATCCGATTTAAGACCAGTTTATAAGCTATTGCTAAAACGTTTATTAAATATTTGATCTTACGTATACCTTCATTAAGTGCAAATGAGAATATTGCCTGTACATATTTTTTGAGAGTTAAGTATTATATGCCATAAGTAGTAGTCTTAATATAAACGGATACGTAACATGTCTTTTTTATGAACAGGATGTGCCATGCAGTGAAGTAGAACGTGAGTTCTGGCGTATCTTACAGGAGTATAATGATGATGTCGTCGTTGAATACGGCGCTGATATTCACTCAAGTTCTCAGGGGTCGGGGTTTCCAACAAAATCAATGCTAAAGAACTTAGTTGGCACTGCTTCCCAACTAGCAGAAGCAAAGAAGTACGCTGATAGCCCTTGGAACTTAAATATATTACCGTTGTTAGATCGGTAAGTTGAATAACGTTGATTGTTTATTTCCTAAAAATGTTAGTGTGATTTAACGTAGTTTGTTTTAGAAATATGAATTGCAACGCGGATGTAATTACAGCTATTTCAGTTCTATAATAAGATGACCCTATGATTTAGCCGCTTAACTTTATTTATTATGTATCAGATTCCAAACTAATTTTGCATACTACTGTTTAATCAATCAAATAGTATTTTTTTGTTCCTGCCCAAGGGGTACCATTAATTTCAACTGAAATTTTGTGGTTTAATATGTTGATTTTCTATTCATACTCGATACTTAGACAGTAGCTTTGTAGGTAACAAACTGAAACTGAGATAATTGTGCACAACATAACCTCTAACCATAGTACATCATTATCTCAATGAATAATTCAAAACTCTTCTATGTGTATATCACGCCAAATTGTAACCCATTTCTACTTTTCAGATTTTTCTATTTCTTTTCACTTGGAAGTTTGTTATTTGATATCCATCTGGTTCTTCAGTTTATCTGCTCTAAAGAATACCTACTCTTGGTTTTATGAACCATCTAGAAATATAAAATCATCTTCCTAAATTCTTATATAAGTTTATACATTGACCATATTATGGGGCCTTGGATGTTAGGCAAAAGAAAACTAACAAAATGGACACATTTAAAACTGTTAAAACGTACTCGTAATTTAATGAATATTAATTGCTTCCACAGTATGTTATCAATTTCATCATTAGTCAAGAAATTTATTAAGCGTCTAAGGAGACTCACTCCGAGATTAACATGATCTATGAAAGGTTGGTGGTTGTATGAAATATGATATTTTTTAACTCGTTTATCATATGCACATATTATTTAATAAATGTTAAATAAATGATTAATACTGTCCTTATAATTTTTTGACGACTAACAGATCAGTCTTGAGGTTCATTAAAGGAAACATAGACGGTATGAAAATCCCTTGGTGCTATGTTGGTATGGTTTTTTCTAGCTTTTGTTGGCATATTGAAGATCATTGGAGCTACTCCATCAATTTTAATCATTGGTTAGTTGGAAATTGGCTTTTAATAATTGATGTTAATTTGACTTTTAAAATTGTGGCCGCTTGTGAATTCCAGTTTATCTCCCATGTCACTAACTAGATTCACAGGTCTGGTTTTAACTCGTGAACACTGAAACTTCCTATTTTATTCTCATAATTTCGTATATAAATGTCAATACGTATTAGCAACCTCTGTACTATTCTGCATCTATCATTTAGATTTTCAGTGATTTCTTTATGATCTTGTACCGTGTGTTTGAGCATTTTGGAAACCACTATGCAGTTCCTAATATAGTTCTAAAGCACTATCTTTCAACTAATTTAGTGGATAAACTACTGCCAGACTGCACACCAAACTAGTTATTTCCACTAGAAGAGGCAGTAAAACTCATTTCAAAGTATACTTGTTGTTAAGCCATGTAACGAACTGTCAAACTAGTAATAATAAGATCCGTATGAAGCGATTATTCACTAAATTTGCTAAACTAGAAATATTTATATATTTTTATGAATTTTCTTACCACTCAATGCTCATAAACTCAGTTTACATTTCCAGTTACTGTTAGTCATACATGCTTCTTGTATTCTTTAACAGCCAGGCACTAATCCATTTTACTGCTATCTGTCTGTTTTTGTTCATTGTTAAAAAGTTATTTTTGGTTGGGAGATCTAGCACTTTTATTAACACTATCCACTGTGATCATCTTTTAAATTGAAATGTTTTTCGTGGACTGTAAAATAGGGGTGAGCCGAAAACTTGGTATGGTGTATCCCGTTTGCACGCAGATGATTTTGAACGCGCTATGAAAAAACACGCCACAGAACTTTTCGATCAAGCCCCAGATTTACTGCATCACATTACAACTAATGTAAATCCGAATATTTTACAAGCAGAAGGTGTACCAATATATCGGACTGATCAACACTGTGGAGAGTTTGTCGTGACATTTCCGCGCGCTTATCATGCTGGATTCAATCAAGGCTTCAATTTTGCTGAGGCTGTTAATATATGTCTACCTGATTGGGTAAGCTCATTTTTTAACATCCGTTTGAGCTTTTAAGTCACATTCGAAAAAAATTATTTGTTGAATTACTAAAAAATTCAGTTTAAAAAATTCCTCTAGTTTCTTTTGCAATTATTGTCAAAATACCAGCGTGTAACAATAAAATTATATAAAACAACTGTCAGTATGCAGCATAATGCCCACTACAGTATCTAATACAAACGCATTCACACTATTAAAGTTGGTTTTGAACTGTACAACCTCAAGTTACTAGCCACTAGTTTTGTTAGTTATTTGAACTTCGTTTAGATTATGTTTTACCGTTCTGTCCAAACTAATATCCTAACTCCTGGTGGATTGTTATTGTTTAGCTTCATGGAGACGATATTCTAATTTTAAGAGGTTGGGCGTAACATAAACTTCACTAAGTGTCTTTGGTTTACTCTTGTCGTATCTATTTTCTAAAATCGGAAAATGCTGAGTTGCTCCCTGAGTTTGATCACTGTTCCCTTTGTACAATGTCATCTTGAAATGGGAGACACTTGTTATAGTTTGTGTGTGTTTTATTATGTGCCATTTTATACTGCTCTGCTATCAATAGATTGAATCAATGACTGATATCAGTTATTATTTTTGTGTTTTTATCATTGATAATATCAATTTCGTTTTGGGGCAGTGGCTTCATACGTGAACAACTTTCTGTTACTATTAATATATTTTAATTGATAATTCTTCAATCGTATGTTTTAAAATGTTGCATTCCTAAGCTTCCTATTGGCCGTGCTTGTATTGAACATTATGCTGAAATTAAAAGACATTGTGTATTTTCAAACGATGAACTATTATGTACATTGGCTGAAGTAGCTGTGGGCAATGTTCTTCCAGAAGAAATACTCACTTTAACAAATCCTGTTACTAGCTGTACTTCAAATGGTGAATGCTCAGACAATCCTGAACCTCATATCAGTGAAAAACTACCTCCTGGTTGTTCAACTTCAGGTCTCGACATAGGTGCTGTAGCTATTGTGCATCAAGAGTTTACTTGTGTACTCAAAGAAGAACGACGGTTACGAGAATTAATCATCCAAAGTGGTGTGTCTAACTCGAGAAAAGTTAGATTCGACGAAATGTCAGATGATGCACGTGTCTGTGATTTCTGTTTGACTACTCTTTTTTTATCTGGAGTTAGTTGTTCATGTATTTATGAATCGAACACCAGTATTCAAAGATTAGAGAACCCAAATGACCGTTCTTTGGATGACCTTAGTACAACTGCACGAAAACACAAGATGTCGGATGAACCATATGGCATTATAGATGAATCTAATGAAGGTGTGTTTTTTTTTCGTTTTGACTTCCTAATTCGTCATCTTATTTGTTTCAAATTATTTTTTAAGCATTTTTGTTGATAATCAGTAGTTTTAGCTAAGTTATTACTAAAAAGTTAGTACCATCCTACTACTTTTAAGTAGTGTGGTTAGTTTTATGAATTTTCGTCTTGTCCTAAAGTTAAATCAGATAACTTTTGAAAAACAAGAAACTTTTTGCCTACCTTTAGGCTTCCATAATGCAACCTGCTAAGTTAGTCAGTCAGTACTTGAAAAAATCAGCTTCAGTTACCATTCCACATCGCAACGAGATGAAATTTACAATACGAATGGCATAAGAATTGAAATTATAGTAGTTTCACTAGTAATGAGAAATATGGTTCGGAAAGTGATGAATTTTAGTGGTAATACTGAAGCTCAAAACTTAGGGTAAGATGTATTGTGATTCCATCCGCACCAATTGTTATAACTGTACTGCAGATTAGGGCGCAGCGTATTATCGATCGGACCAAAGACGCGTAAACACGTAAGAACGGCCTAGAGTTCTGATTGGTCTCGCTTCCCTGTCTAGCCCAGCCAGTTGAGTCCAGAACGCAAGTCTCAGCCTCTGAGATATGAGTCGTTATATTTCAAGAATACTGAGTTTATATACCAAACAAACCGACCACAACGTACCAATAAAATATGAAACAACATTTGTACAAGAATTAACCAGATGTGGCTGTGAATGTGGGAGGTAGCGATTAACAGACAGGTAGTAATTCATGAATGATAAATCGTATAATAATAGTTCATAGGTCAAAATCAAGCTCATAATAAGAGGGACATGAATATGAACAGTTTAGTTACATAGAAATTATACGATAAAAATATACTCATAATATTGGTCCATAAATGGATCCCGAAAATTGCCATTCATTATTCTTATCGGGATACAACACCAACATAGTATCTTCGACGCCTTATCTGTTGTTACCACAATTTCATCTCATTGTACTAATGGGGTACGGAAACTTGAACCTATTTACACACGCACCATGTTCTACGTTGACGCCACAGTAACCGATCTTGAGCCATATCACTCAGTCTCTTTCACTGATGATCTTATAGACCTCAATCAAGTAGGGTGGATCTACCAACACGTTTCAGTGACTTCATTGACTGATACTCGATCTTGGTTTGGCCTCCATCAGTCTTCATTTAAACAATCCCTAATTCAGTCAATATATTGGGTGTCGAGGTAGTCAACCTTTGGCCATGGGTTTGGTTACTACATACCTCAGCTACCTCATTAAATGAAGGCTCAGTTTCACCAATCAATTCGTCTCTTAATTGTTGAAGTGTATAGGTTTTCTAGGAGTTTTAAGCCGTTGAAAACCCTATCTATCGCTTCATAATTTACCATTGTTCTTTAACTGTTCAGATCGTAATACAACATACATTCAGTGTTTGTCATTAACTTCTTGAATTAAACAATCGTTTTACAACTTATGTCCCACAATTTCATTTTTATCGAGTCATACTATCTAAGCCTGACCTCACTAGTAGTACCTGTATTACGCAGGTATTCATCTTGGTAATTTCTCTTTTGTACTGATAAGATGTGGCAACCTGAGGGCAATGCACCTTTCGTGTCAGGTTCATGAATTCCTTATGGCAGACTGACTTCAATCCTAGTATATCTTTGTGATACCATGTTCTTTTAAATTAAGAAACAAAATAACCGTTCATTTCATTGAAATTCCTGTTACCTTCGTTTGTTTCCCAAACATCTCAAACGTAACCAGTCAGTCTGCAGTGGTGCATCATTTTAGGATGTTTTTCACATAGCTACTAACCAATACATAAATTCCAAACCCCCTAATTTTCATCCAATTCATAGTTTTTCATTACATTTTATACTCAAAAATCTAGCTAGTAAACAGTTTATTTGTAAAAGCAATCAGCTATTCAGAATATTTCACTATTTTTCATTTGTGAATTATTGGTGATATGGTGTCGTTCATGAAAATTAGTTGTAATACTATCGCTTATCTAATTTCCAAATGTAGTTTTACTAAAAAAATACTATTCATCCGAAAGTTTGGCTATTGAATGAGCAGACGACAATCAGATATGATGTAAATCAGGTTAAATTATATTTCTAATGGAAATTTGAATAGGATTTTTCAAATGCTTCCAGCGAATAATTTAGTGCAGTGTTCAGAAAAGTATTTCTTTTTTACCCCTTACAGAGGAAAAGCGACCTCCTAGCCATATGGTTTGTCTAAAACATGTGTCCGAATTGTGCAAGAAATGTCCACCCTCAGTTTTTGTACTCAACTATCATTACTCAATAGAGGAACTATGCAGTTTAGAACAATCTTTGGCTGATCGCCTAGCCCATTTTTATGCATGGAGAAATCAGTTATCTTTTATAATTAAACCGAGTGATTCAAACACTTTCTCAAGTAATCACTTCATGAAACAAGAAGCTAATGATAATCATGTTGTTGTATCTAACAACTCAACTTCAGGTACTATGACACTTGAGGAATTGGAGGTAATTAATAATGTTATAAGACTTGTCTTTTGTTCTTATGTTTTTTGTACGAAATTTATACAGATAATCTAGAATATAACATAGTAAAATGATTAGCCAAACTTTATTTGTGACAAAAGTTTCAATTTCTATTTATGCTTCATATGTGGGAACTTCGTGTTAGTAGTTCAGAAACTGATACAATGAATTATAAATTGTAAATTTTTGTACATACTTTATTTTGTGGATTCGTTTTCATAGGGTAAATGTAGCTCCTAGCACATTACGTAAGCGTGTCAGTGTTTATTAACTTGCATTGAATTGCGATTAGAATGTCCATTTTGCACCAACTTCACTTATGCTACTGAAAACCATTGAAATGCTCACCTGAGTTTATACAGCGGCTTAAATTTAAAATAGATAACCGAACATTACTGTTTACTTTATCTGGTAGAGTCTTCCATTTGTCGATGAAATTTTCTACCTATTGTCGTCAGACTAGACAGCAAAGACAAGAGTTTAAAGAAATATTTGATTGAACTCAACTGCATATTTAGATGGAAGCATTCATATTCTTGTAATCATTGTTTTCATAAATAGAGCTACACAAGGAGCCGTCAAGAAGTGAATTAAATATTAGCGATTATTCACAGGCCTATGTTCAATTTGTTAAACCATGCCAATTATGTGTAAACGTATAATACTATATAGGCACCAGATTTTTGACGACTAGGTTTCTACTTTAACGCATTTGATGAGAAATAAAACCCTTTATATTGAATTCATTTGACCACTAGTTATGGCTCTCAGGGATAAAGTATAAACTATATTCTCATAGTCTTCTGAAAATATGACGTAAACAGTCATACTGTAAAGCGACGCATTCACTTTTTTTAAATAATTCATTGTTTCGCAATGTCGTTGCATGAGATATTGTTTTGTAGAAAAACGTAGCATGTACCTAATCAGTTTATGAAAATCATTATTTTTATATTTTTATTGGTGAGTCATTGACGGTGTACACTGCTACCACCTCTACATTCATCAAATTGGTTTCCATTCTTGCGTGTCAGTACCTCTAAAACCGTTCTTCATTTTTAGTATTCTACGAACTAAAGTACCTTTAAACAAATGGGAATGTTCAATGAATTCCCATAAATGTTGACCGTTGGCGTGATTATATATCGGGGTGAGGCACCAGTCGTTAAGCCGGCAAATCACTGGTTCAAACCCCACTCCATTTTTGGTTCAAGCAACAGGGTAGTATCACTAACCCTCACATTTCAAGTGAGGCTACAAGTTCAGTACACGGATCTGTGCCCAATAGTTGGGTTGAAGTATATGAGGTTTACTCTATCATTTGAGTTGTCAAATGAATGTTATCCGTAGATAAGTAATTTGCCATGTTAGAACTAGTGGGTGAAGTGATTTTAATGTACGAATATTTTTACAAGTTTACCTTGTCTACTATTCTAATCACCCTGAAATCTATTCGTACTTTGAATCATTTGATTACAAGCTAAGTATTCTTCGACTTTAATCCAATTATTCGAAGAATTCTTACAAAATTATCGTCGCACATTTTCTTCATAACAGCTTTTTTTTAACAAGATTGTTATACTTAATGCCCTAAAAATATAGACTTGCATTATTCTTGATATCAGATAAAATTGACCGAAGGCAAGGCTGCTGGCTATCATACTGATGACATCTACAACGATGCTAAAGCTATGTTAGATCGTGGTAAACATCTTCAACAAATATGTGTCAAATTAAAACCCTCCATTATTGGTTCCGGGAACACTGATAAGTTCAAAAGCTCATTAACAAGCATATCATCGACCGTCAACCCTGTAAAATTTCAAACCCGACGTCCTGCTACTTTTACCGTGGCGACTTCTTCGACTAACGGTTGTGCAACACCACATAAAATTATCAAATTGCCTTCGAATAATGGATATGTAGTTCTCAACCATGAACTTGACGTCAACAAGTAAGTGTAGATTTCTTCGAAACATCTCATTTTAATGTACAATATTCTAATATTCGTGTTTCACGTGAAAGAAATTATTTTTTGTTAACTTATCTTAATTGAAACCAAACGTTTAATTAGCTTAAAATAACACTCATCTTCATGAGTACATAATAGGTTAAAGTGAAATCAGTTTAGTTCCTATATCAGTTTGAAAATCTGAGAGCGGAAATGCCTGAGTTTAATTTACCAGAGTCCATTTCACATAATAACTCCATTCCAGACAACATGGAAACTAATGACATTTTGAATAGATTCACGTGTGATATGAGTGATGAATTTATTGCATGTTGTGATTACTGGTACTGAAAATTCCTTATAGTCAGTCATCAATTAGGTAATAAATTACACATAGATTATTACGTAATGTAGTAATAGATTTCACTCCTTTTATGCTTCTTCCATTAATCGAATGGCTGAATACGTCTTGATGAAGGTAAAACCTCGACAACCCCAAAATGAAAACAACCATGTGCTCACTAGTGACTAGCTTTAAGAAGGAATTCTCGGAGTTCTAGTGAGAAACCGTGACCAGCCGAGTCTAACCGTATAGGGTGAGGCGGTTACTCACTGAAGATGGTTGCACAATATCATGCACTGGTTGAAGTTAGACATTAACACCGTTGGATGTCGACACAGAGGTTTAAAGGTTGGGCGTCCGCACGCGTGACCGAAGGTCATTGGTTCGTGTCCTGTGTACTGGATTGTGGATACGAAGTGCTGAGGAGTCCCATACTAGGACGAGACAGCCGTCCAATGCTTTCAGGTTTCAATAGTGATCTAAAATTGATCGGTTCATGGTTTCAATCAAATCCACACAACCCCAAACTGGAAGTTAGAATATTTGCTTAGCAATCAAACTCACAGTTTCCAACCCTCGACCTTCAGGTCCGAATACTGCTCTACTTTGTTTTTGTCAATCGGATAATCTCGGTAGTCTTTACATCAAAATAATTGATCCATATGCTTGTACATGAATATATTCTTGGCTATTGGATCGAATTAAATTAAATTACCTTTTCTCACTCAAGTTACGCCGTGAATACATAACTCTTGAAGAACGTATAGTTGTTTATGCAAAGGCGGAAAATTTAATACAGTTGCACTGGCAGATTTTTGACATATCAGTGCTATCGGCACTAGATATTTATTTGTTGATTTAGTGTCATGTTAACTGGTTATGTTTCCTATCTTAAAGGCATAATGCAAAAATTAAAAACTGGGACTGAAATTAAAACGTTTTTTCCTTTACTTCAATGAAACATTTTGAGCGTTTAACTATCAGCCGATCTTATCATTGTTAAAATTATTAATATTATTGGACGAGAGGTTTGAGGAGTTGAAAGAGGGAAAATGATGAACGAAAGGGATTGGTTTATAATTATGAACAAAATTCGTTTTAATGTTATACACATGGATTCACGAAATTTACTGTTAAACTCCATCGTAATTAAAGTCATTAAGTCTGATTGTGATCTTATATAAAATAACGTTGTTCTCCTCAATGTGTTGTTCTATTTTTGACAATTGGAATCTTTACTATTCTGCTAGTCTTTGTTTTTTTGCTCTGAATTCCTAGTCCCCGGGAATACGATCTTTTACGACTGATGGAATCTTGTGAACAACAGCATCCTCTCAATCTTTTTGAGGATCCATCAGTACAATTAGTCAAACGGCTGTTAAGTCAGTTAACAACGTGGCACCAATCAGCCCGTGATATTATTAACCTACTATGCAATTTAATCCTAACAAATGCCACTCGAAGTATTTCTACCAGTTTTTCCATATCAGATAGTTTGTCCAATATTGGTGTTAGTGCGGATTGTCTCCCTAATGATTTCTACGCTTTCTCAACAGATGATCAAGCCTTAATAATCCTTGACTATTTTTTGGAGAAATTACGAAATGAATTCCCATCGTATGTGTATCGTATATCGGAATGGAATTCTCTTAATCTCGTGAGTTCTGGCATGAGTAGTTGAGTGTTGTGTATGGTAAATTAGTAATACTAGTGTACCATTTTTTTTCAACATGTACTTCATATGTCAATCAGTAGACTTTATGTTTCATTAGTAAGTTCTAGTATTTAGATAATGCGATTACCACATGGCTTCTAAAAGATTATCTTCTACACTAATAATAGGAAACCTTTGTGTTGTTTTGATTCATAGTCATCAACAGTTGTCCAGTAGTATTATTTAGTAGATGACATGTATTTTGCGAGACAATCACAATTCTCAGCACTTCATCGAATAATCAACTAAAGTTGTTATTTATTGCCACTTTCTTTGTCCTGCCCCTTCTTAATCTAGGTTAGTATTTGAAATACTTTTCTAAACGTACCTTGTTAATTGCCATATCTAAATGTGAACTTAAAACAAATGCGTCGTAAGCCTCAAGAACTACAATGTATGGTCTGTTTTCAGTTTGAAGTGATTCTGGATACTATTCAAAATGAACATCCAACTTAAACAGTAATCCTGAGAATATCTATCAGTTTCCCTCTAAAGTCGTTCGATCTTTAATTTGTTTACTTTCTAAGAATTTGTAGCACTAAATTTTATTGACATCAAAACACCTTCAACGAACTTTATTGCTTGCTACTTTATTGTTGTCACACTTTTGTCTATTGAGTTTTTATCTGACCTTACATTTTTCACCATTTATCTTCTTTGATTTTAGCTACGTCATGCATTGAGATGGCTCTGTATTTATGGTCGACATGATAACAATAAAAGTACGTGTTGGTCATTGCCTCATCTTCGAAAGTATTTGGTTTTTGGTGAGGAAATCATTTCACAGCTGACAGCAATTACCTCGAGTCAAAAATCTCACTCAAAAATAGTTCATTCATCTTCATCACCTGTTTCATTATCTATCCGAAACAACCAGACAATTTCTCAGTCTCCAGGATCTTCGTTTAATGTTAGCAATATCGACACTGCTTTAACTCAGATCATGAGGTTTGTACTAGCTCGAATGCATACGTCTTTAGGAAATCTGACCCAGTTGGGTGTACAAGTTGAAACTCTAGTTGGTCTTTTAACTGAAATTCTCAGCAGTTCAAGGTGAATTACTTATAATAATAATATATAATTCATTTTTGTACCAATAAGATCACACTTCATTAATTGTTTGCTCTATGAACCACCAAATATTTTGTGAATTGGTGATTTGTTAACACAGTGAGAAGACGAAGGTTATCGGGATTACGTTATACATTTCGAACAATCTGATCACATATATACTAGTTAAGACATTTTATTGAAGCCTTGGCTATACTGAAACTAAAACCCTTTTTATGTGTTCAAAAAAAATTAGTCCTTACCCTTAACCTACCCAGGTAATACTAATTTATTATCCAGAGCGGTTTTCACTTCGCCTTTGTTTACTTTCTTATTCATTTTGTCTTCGTTTGCCTTTTAATTTGTCTAGTTGACCTTTTATTTTTCATATAAAACGTCTTAATAAATATATATGTGATCAGATTGTTCGAAATATTTTACGCAAATATGTCACATAATCCTGATAACGTTCGTCTTCTCAATGCATTATCGAAATTTATCAGAGGGACTTATTGTCTTAGATTTCCTAACATGTTTTGCACTAGGTATTATATATATCCACAATGATATATTGACAACTTAAACTTTATCATTGGTCTCATGAACAGATTCAGTGAAATATCAATAGAATCGATCTATATTATTCAAACTAGTACTGTTAATATCATGTATTTATTTTGAATCGAAGAATGTTACCTACTTACTTACTTACGCCTGGTTAAAAACGCTAACCAGAATGTTACTAATTTTTTGTATGTGGTTTACAGGAGACAGGTGACCTGGATATACTATACTGGGTCTTGGAATTCTTAACATTTTTATTTGTTTTTGTGTGTTTACACTAAAACAGGTCATCAATCTATCAAGAAATTGAGGATGCATTGTACCGAATAAAGAGACTGGGAATTGATCACGTTACGGCTGTTAATGGACAAATACCACTAACAGATGAACCTCAACTTAATGCAGCATTAGATGAACGCCATTTCAATAGCATTGTAGATACTCAGTCAGTTACTACACCTGAAGATATCGCTCAATTAAAAGCACTTTTAAAACAGCATGTTGATGACATGATAAATTTGTGTTCCCGGGATGAGTATAGTTCAAAAACTCAACCTTATTTAAATAAAGTAAGTTCATTAGTTTTTATTTTGCGTAATAAATCTCCTTATGTTTCATTTTGCTAACCTACTAATTTTATTAAGCGTACACAATAAACACTTTAGATTTTGTCATAATGGCTAGCTAAAAAATTGGATGAAGCTTAGTAAGAAATAAAGTAATTAAGATTTTACTGTCGCTGTTAATTTTTATTTCATTTTATTCAGGGATTGATCAAGTGACGCCGAACTGTTAATTATATAAATAAATAAGATTTCAATCAACCTTAACAGATTTTCGTTATATTCATCACTCTGATTCAGTTTGACCTCTTTATTTGACTACTTAGCGATCAGTATTATTGCTTTTCTAAGCGTAACGTTACCCATACCTAATTCATGTGTCACTTGTCTTTACTTTCTGAAACATACTTAGTTGTACATTTGTATTTACAGTGGGTTTTATATGTTTGTAGAAAAAGGGAGAGATTATATCATATAGTCATCTGAGATTCCAATCGTCCAAAGGAAGGTTCCTTAATTATCTTTATGTTAGAGAAGAATAGGAGTATGAAAGTAACTTACGGGTCAGAAATATAAGGGATAATTGTTCACTTAACTGATAATTGGAAAGGAGAAGACATAAAGGCCATAATAACAATTGAATAATAATGATGAAAGATTGTTAGAGGGTAACAATAACTGACTAAGTGGACGATTATCTCTTCCCTGGCCTCTAGATCATTTCACAGACTTAGTTGTACTTACTTTAGCCATCATTACACAATGATTCAGCCTCAATAGTGTTTAATGTCCATTAATTTATTGAACTGTAGCTTTTCCGTTTGAATTATTTATTTATTTATTTCAATGCAAACATTGATACAAAGAGGTATAAAAATATGTATGCCCCATACAAAGTAGCTATCACTCAATTTGTGTTTGGGATAAGATACTGTCCGGGTGCCAAAAGCGAGAGAGGTAGTTTTCTTAGGTGGCCACTCTCCGAACCTTTGGTCCAGAAGTCTAATCCACAAGACAGTGGAACAACGTTAGTAGATGCAGTCTCATGATAGCCGGTGACAAACAATAAGTTCATACGCCATTTTTCCCCTCACGATCCTGAAGCCCATGTGTTCCATGGGTCTGGAATAATGGTCTTCAAACCCCCTCCCCCTAGGTAGGTCCCTCGTACCCACCAACCCGCTTGGAGAGTCGAACATTCACTTCTCGTCCTCGCGACTTTGTAGACAATACCCCTGCCGCGAGAAGACAGTGAGTAGGACTTCCCTGACAATGGCTGTATATGCGTGGGTATATGGGCGTATTTCGAGAGGGAGAGCGAACGCTTCTCATTTTCGGTCGTACCACAGTTAAAGTAATATGAGATTGGCTAACAAACGAAGATAAACACATTCAGCTTTAGTGAATATACAAGACTATTGTACTGTAGATTTTATTAACCGTTGATTTCTACTCGGACTTTGCAATATTAACGGCTTTTAATTCGTGGCAACAAACTGTTGTTCCACCTCATATTCGTTAGTCGAATTTCGAGTACCTGAGTCCATGTGATCTATTACTAACTAGTGGTCAAGTCCGTTGGGTTCTGTACGTCATACTATTTTGAATTTAATATCCATTGTCCCAGCAGTAGGATTGTCTGTGCAAAAACAAAATATAACTTCCCCAGTTATTATCAGAAGAATAATTACCACAAATATTTTTTTAAATTAACTTATATTTTATGCTTGTTATTTCACAGTTGCAATTGTTAACTGATTTCTTTTTTATTATAGGCAGAAATCTTGTGTGAACTCGGTCATTTGTTCTCACCAACTTCAGATTCAGATCGTTTATTAAGTTTCGTTACAACTAATCATAAAATTATTGTTATATCGGACAAATTAGATCGCCAGTTGAAAAAATTAAATGATCATGTTAACAACACCAAACGTGCTATATCGGATCTGTATAACAAATTCCTTCCTCATCATGGTTTGCCTGGATATAATATACAGACAGATTCATTATTAGAGGTGTGTTATGTGTGATTTTAAATATTCCTTTAAACGCAGTTTAACTTGTCACTTTTTAATAACATGGATTCAAAGGTTCTGAAACACAAAACTTAGTTATTATTACGGTTTTTACGTTGGCCTAATATGTTTCATCATCGTATAATTCATCACAACATGTATCATCTGACGCTGATTATTCTCAGTAGATTTATACACTTGTGAAAATATCGATTGTAAACCAATAGTATTGTAAAAGATCGTGTTTTAGCTTACCTTTGGATCGGTCAGGAAACTTGATTTCTTTAAAGAAGATTTCTCGTATATTCAAATAATTATTCTCAACAATTCAAAGAACAAAAATAAAAAAGTAAATCTACTTTTATTGTATAAGAACTGTCATTTTCAGGCATGGAAATTTCATTTCACTTCATACCTGTCAAGTCGATCATTCATATTGTAGTAAGGAGTTAGGCTGCTTCTAATTATAATAAATCCAGTCTTTGTTCATCACCTGGTCATCTAGGTATGATATTTTTTATCCTGCCAAATCCCTATTTTTAAACGTTTGTCTATCATAAAGAAGATATCATTTAATTTAAGATAGTTAAACGCCAATTCTCCTCTAAACTAAATTTCATACTTCCTCTTCACTGATACGCTAAGATTAGTTTGAAGCAATATAAATTATGACCGGTTTCGCATTTAAATTGAGTTTAATCTATAGCAGGTAATATACATGTAAAAATGGTCCATCCAGTAAATATCTGGACTGTATCATTAAGCTTTACAACAAAATTTGGGTGCATTCTATAGAAAATTTATGTAAAGTCGTTAAGTGGATCGAGCGTTTTAGTTCAAGCCCGTAAAGAACAGCTGACATCAAAAGGACGATATTTTTTTCTTCACGTATAATTATAAATTGTGAGTGTATGAACATAAATATACAAAAAAGTCATTCCTTTAAATGTTATTGAAATATGTACCAATATGTCCAAATGCACACTTTCATTTAAAGATGCATGACGCTGGAAAACAAATTATTTCTGGCGGTGATCACATTCCAATCTGAATATAAACTACTGTTAGCCTGATTTTTAGATTTTATGGCCGCTAATAAGGTGATGACTACAAATTATTAACATTATTGTAAGGCGGATTTGATAAGTGAAAAGAGGGAAGAAGTAAAATTCTATTTATTAATTCGTGGACCGTTATGAATTATAAATCTAAATCATATTTATTTTAAGGTTATTCGTAAAGAACACAAAGTTGATGAAGAGTCAGAAATGTGGTCAGTCTTCATTGTTGATGTAAGCATCCCACATCTACTGTCTATATACTTTCCAATTAGCGATTCTTTTTCCGAAGGATTGATAATGAATTAAATTTAAAAGATCGTCTGTGTACATATTTGTAGCAAAAAGGTCAAAGGATATGACAACTAGGAAGATACAAGTATATTGCTAATAGTTGTTGGTATGTTGAAGGAGGTTAGACAGATTAACCTTTACTTTTTTTAACATCAGTTCACGTATTTACTAGATAAGTTACAAATGTGCCTATATGTTCCCAAAACTTCTGAAACATTTTTTATTGTCTACAATGTAGAACGTGACTAAATAATTTATTAACCAATTGTAGATTTTGTTGCCTGGGTTTTCAATGAAACATCAGAAATGCTTTGCTTTGCAGTCATTCAAAGATGCTTCGTCATCGAGTTATGATCTTTCACTTGTAAGTTCATCTTTAAGCTTCACTAAATATTTTAAAAACTAGGACTAAAGTTAAGCTTTCCAACAGTTGGTTTTTCATATTTTAGTTTACAACTTATATTTGTTGGAAGTACTTTTTGTAGTGTTTTTTAAGTGTATAACTGAGTATTAAAGTCCGCTGTGTGATCTAGGAAATCAGATAATTTATTTTACTCTTTCCCAATCAATAAAGTCGATAGTCTTACATATAAACTTACACTCTATCAATCTTTATTATTTTTCTAAATCACAAACATCTATTGTGTGTGTGGTGTTTTGAATATCCATTATCATTGTTTGATATGTCACTGCACAGTCTTAGTTCATTTTAGTTTCCCTTTGTTACTTTACACTTCAGTTTACATAAATCGATTTCCACTTTGTTTAGTTGTGGTTCCTTGATTTAAATACTCAACTTTCAGTTATTGAATAAGTGTTTCAAATGTTGTGCCCTCTAAGTAAATTTGAATAATAAATTCACAATTACGTGTAACCTTCAACTATCAGTTCTTGAATTGTTATTTCCGAAAGAAAGTACTTCAAAGTATTTTCTTATCACATCTCGTTTTATCCGTTGCTCTTAGTTCTGTAATGGCTCTCGTTCTCTGTTGAAGTAAACTATTTTTGATTCATTATTTTTCATTTTCAACTACTTCGATGCCTTCAGAATTTGTTGAAGCAAACAGATTTGAAGATATTAATTAGAAGGATAAGTTTATAAAAACTTTACACTCCACTAGATAGACAGTGTGCATTCAACCTCTTTTGAGTTTATTGTCGTTGCTTAGTAGACTAAATTAGTTAATGTCGCTAGTACTGATACTTTTTGATTTTTTCGGCTCGTTTTGTGATCGCAGTCACCTTGGTCAAATTATCTAACTTACATACATTAAGCTTATAAGATGACTAATCTTATGAACTCTGCAGCTATTTATTCTACATTGTCTCTTCGTCATTTATATCATGTATTCTGTTTCTCGACCTAGCAGTAGAATTAATAGAAAGTTGATAATCAAGATTACGACTTATTATCCTCCATTTTGTATTTATTCATTTATCTTCCTACTAAAAAGAGCCTAAAATACGCCGTACACGTTTATTATGTAGTAAATATAAACATAATAATAATGCTTTAAGAATGTTACATACAGTACATAACTTATTCAGTGTAACTGAAAAATTAAAACACCCAATTTTCTTTCTGATGCGAACTGATTTGAATTAGATTTTAACACTATAAGATCCAGGTTCACTGGTCCTGGGTCGGCGAGGTCGCGGATTCGCATTGTTGAGGGGTCCTATATTGTGATGAAATAGCCGTCCAATACTTCTTGGTTTTCAATGGTTGTCTATCTTAGCTCGATTCGTGAGCTCAATAATATTGTAATTAACACGTTAGTAGTTTTACCTGTTTTTATTACTGATTTCAGTTTTTTCGTACATTGAAGTCTCTTCTTACCATTGTTTTCTTTTTCGTTATGTAGTCTGTATATAAACAACAAATGAAGGATCATTTTGATTACATATCGTCAGCACTTAAAAATATGTTCACAAAAGGTACTTCATGTGATTTATGTTCCAAGCGCTTCAAAATAACAAGAGTCATTACAGACCAAATTGTAAGTTGTATTGGGCTTTGTGATTGTTTCTCTTGTCAATTGTTTCTTTCTTGTAATTTCTTACACTGATTCTATCAAAAATTCCAGTTATTTAAATATGGTTACCTGTTTTGTGAGTTTAAATGAATTGGAAACTGACTTCGTTTCATATAGAAGAAAGGTATTGTGAGAGAAATGGGTTTTCGCTCCAGTTATTTTGTGAGCGTTGGTTTGCTTTCAGTGAATTATATTAACGTTAAGTGATGAGTTTGTGAAAAAGATAAATTGAATTATTCTATGCAGTCGACTGAGCTAAATAGTTTAACTGATTAATAGATTATTTGTGTCCTAAACATAATACACTCACTTTTGTTTGCTTTCAAATCTCAACACTATGGTCTATCAAACTTCTCAACATTTCATTTCATTTTTTAATTATATCTTGCATTTTATTCCATTACAATCTAGATCTCCGAATGCAGTCCTTGTGATTTATGTTCATTATGCTCAGAAGATCTATCAGTATATCCCACATTTGATTGGCTTATGCGTTTTGAACATCACTGGTCCAGTTCTACCTCATCTAGTGTGAACAATGAGGAAATTGTTGATCTAACTGATGAAACGGATTGTGGAAATTATGGCATCTTGATTCTTCTGTGTAGCCCTGTTTCCACTGCTCTTCGACTTTGTATAAATCAAATTCAAGAGTATTTGGTAAGTTACTGTACAATCTTGGGAAAGTTTTTGCTCTTTGCTATACTATTGCCATTGATTTGCCAACAATAATTCTGTATATGTTAAAAAGTTAATTCTGTTAGCCTCCAGTTCTCCATCACCTTACATCCTACTTCAAGCAGTTAAAACATGTTCTTGGAGCATATTCTCATCAGAATATACTTGTTACACTATTCTAGAATCTCTCATATCCTGAATCTAATTCCTTAATCTATCCTCCTGTGATACTTAAAATCTGCTTGTTATACGATTTTTGAACCATAGAGACATTATTAAATGTAATTCTAATATCATTAGGGTATGTTCATAGCATCATATCATTTTGTATTTGTAAGATGGCAATAGTTGTAGAATCAGTCACCCTAACGCATCATCTTATTAGTTAAATTTCTTGTTAAGAACTTACTGCCTAGTTTGCAGTGCTCACTATCGACTACAAAAAAATCCCGAAATTCGTCCCACCAAGATCTTCATTTTTATTTATTTATTGAGAATAGAACCCAAAGTCACTGCTAAGATAAATTTCAAACCTTATTGTCTGCATAACACTGTGACGTCTATAGTTGTGTATAAACATAATGTAGTCACCCATAAACTAATAAAAACATTGGTAACTTGAACATTTTTCAAATGATATTTGTAAAAACAAATCAGTTTAAATTTTTTTCATTTTACGAAATGTTTTGTTACTTTGTATGGTTTTCGTGTGTCTGTTGAGTTTAGTATATCCAATATTTTATAGCACCCGATGTGTTTATCCTTATCCATAGGCTCAATTGGAACAAATTCTTCAATCACATGGGAACCGATTAAATGAAATCATTTCAAGCGTGAATCAATCGTTAATTCAACAACTACCAAGCTGTTTGATGGATTTCATCAATAAGATGTGCAGTTCACAAGATTCATCAGTTCTTACCAATCATTCTGACTTAACCTATGAACTCTGCAAAATATTGTGTGTTTTCCTTACATTCAAAGTGAATTTGTTGCCGTGTATTCAATTGATCGAACATATTTTATCATCACTATGTGTATTTAACGATATTAACGAGAATACTCTACAAAAATTAGGTTCTTAATGTGTTTTTTTTTCAAGTAACTCTATTTAAAGCTTGTTTACCAAACAGTCACGTTTAGCTATTTACAAATTTTTTGATCATTGTTGTTTTTTTATACATTATTTGTCAGCGTTTGTTTTATTATATAAGTTGACGATTGTTGTTGGTAAATTTTGATATTTCTATATCAGTACGTAAGTAATAATAGATCTGGTTAACATGGTTCTTTGTTTATTACCTTTTCTTTAGTATTCATTATCTTAACTATTCATAGTTTTCCACTTCTGTGTATATGCATCAGCTGTGTTTTTTTTATATACCTGAGTATATGGGCAGATGATGATATACAGATATCCAATTGCATTTGTCTTTACTTTTCACGTTATTTCATCTGTTTGGCCACATATTTTCAACTTCGTTTGTATTTTTACTGCTTTTCTTTCTTGTAACTCATTGTGAAATTGTCATCATTTACATACTTTTAATTTATATATATCTACAAGACTTTTATTAATACTGATCTGAAAATTAATAAATTATTTTATTCAGTTGTGCGTAACATATTATCATCTTTCTTGGTTAGAAATAAAGTACCTAAAATAATGGCGTGTTGTATAATAAGCAGCTTTCTGTCATCGAGATACTGAATTCTTAAAATTTTATGCCATACCATGTATGTATAGCTTGCAAAATATTAATCTTTTAGGTAACACCAACGTGACTAGGTGTAATATCTAACGTTCTTATAATAGAACCTAACATATGTAAGCACATTGGTTGAATTTCCCAAACCCAATTAACACAGTAAGGTGGAATTGTCAAAACAAATCCCAGAGTAGTACTTGTAGCAATAGTGTTAGTGGTAATAGAAAAGATTGGGCATCGAAGATATGATCCAAGAAAATATCAGTTAGTGGAATGAATAAGTTTATAGGGTGATTTGTAAATATACAGCTTAAGGCAAGACTAAGAGTGAATGCATCTGCGCCATCGCAAACGATTCTGAGCTATATTAGCCAAAATATCTAACCACTAGGATAACCACGCAGAATCCAACCAAGTACTCTTCACCTACTTATATTTTTCAGTCCAGAAGTCAGTATCTTCACGGACATTTCAAAAATGCTGGGATTGCTGAGAATATGAAGTGACCTATTACGTATACATACATTCGGATTTTTAAAGTCTATGTTACGTAGTGGTCTGATTGTTAGAACTTGTCGTTTGAATGATTATTGTCTTGGCTCTTTTAATGCTACTTTTTGTATCTGGTCGTCGCTGATTGTTATGTCGGAAATACTTATCACTTATACTCGGAACGAGGGACCTCTGCAATTCCCACGACGCGAAAGTAAGAACACAAAGACTGGTATAAGTGAAGATTTATTAACCCCAAAACACTATGACGACGACACTAGTAGAAAATACATTCATTTATATACTGATTATACACCCATTTTGATTAATAATTAAGATGAAATCACATATATGAAAAATACTTAGAATTATAACAATCCACATATTGAGCATAGTTCATTTCAATGGAATACAAGAATATCGCATATCATACAGAATAAAATATTATACGAGAAAAGAAAACAAATACGACATTGAGTAATCATTATATTGAATCAAAACGGAAGTGATCTTGAACAAAACGCATAATGAGTAAATCAATCGAAAATTGGCTTTTCCTTCCATCACATCACTGATCTGTTTACTTTTTCAGTAAATTATATATTTTACATCAGACTGTTGTTTACCTCGCTTCTCATAAGTCACCACTTGGTCATGTTAAAATACTATAATCCATTGATATATGTGTAAATTACCTTGGAAAGTTTTACTATGGCAATAAAATGTCACTACATACAATTGTCATACTCTATGATTGAATCCGAATTGCTTTCGATCACACAGCTTTCTCTAAAGTGTACAACTGAAAATTCATAATTTATAAAAAAAATCAAAACTAACGGACAGTTATGCCTTATGATCCAGTTCTGTCTCAATCATAATTCTAAACTTCTAGATAATCAGCTATGCAAGTAATAAAACCCAAATCAAGTTTTATTATCATAACCCTAATGATTATCGTAACTGATTCATATATCTAGATTTTGTTAAACTGATGGGGTTAACTGGCGGATAACCTTGACTAGTGATAAGTCTTGCAGATTGAACGCTACATTCGTCTCCCTAGCTAAAACTAGACAGCAACCTGAACACGAGAGAGAAGACTCAAAATATGCGAGAGGTAGTTTACTCCAAGGTTCATTTTAATACAGAAAATATAGGGTTTTTATAATATTTTTGGATGTCCTTGGGTTGCTCGAAGATTCTGGGATGCTGCTAAACATAGTAGCAGTACAGCAACCAGCCAATCAGAATCTCTACATGTGACGTTTCGCTTCCTTCATATTTTTGGCAAAAACTCCAACTGAACGCTGAGTGAAGGAAAGGCTTCTTAGTGTTTCCTGATGCTTGCTTGTCTCTTGCGAGAAACTTGCCGGATCACCCCAACAACTAGTTAAATATTTATCCCTTGCTCATAATATACTGGCGACTGTAGCTTCTCATCCAGCATGTCGTATGTCCGACTTTGCCTGACCTAATTATATTCAGTAATTTCCTAAGATTTTTGTGTGATTAATAGTTTAATGTATTTGATATGGGAGTGAGTTTTTTTTAATGCTGGACAATTTCGGGGATCCTTGGTGTAAAACGATAAGCTGTATTGGGTTTGTTACAGTGTCTGGTAGGATGTGTCTGAATAAAGGCCTTGATAGTCAATCACGACTAGCACAAGATCAAAGTTAGTAAAAGTTTCCCGACTACCATCCGAAATTAAATACAATTTACATGAATAGTTGGCCAGTTGTATCAGTAGCCATACCATATTCTTGGTTGATGTGATTCGATAATTCGACTGTCCGTCGACCAATTTGGATACATTAGATCCCTTCTGTCTATTCTCTCTAGTATAGTCTTCGTTCCATTATGTCTAAATAGGCGTGTTTCTCCGCTTTCTTAACGCGATTTCTCCGTTTCTTTCACTTCATAAGTATGCTGGAAATGATAGCTTTACTCATATTTGAACTATTAAACTATCTTTCTTGATAGTACTTATCAGTAAAAAGGGAAATTTTCATTCTATTTCACCTTTGGCCTTTTTAGTGTTTTGAAATCAAACCAGATAAATAGAGTGGATTATTAATAATAATGAAAGCATGGCGTTCTGCTCTTTGTGTACAACAAATGACCATACTCACTATAGATTTTAAAGTCACTTCAACAAATTTGTTTAGTTTAATAATTTTTAGTGTCATTTCTCTTATTATCTATTTTATTTGAACAAAATGGAAAATAAATTTAATAAATAGATACTAAACTATGAGCTACTTTTTAGATTTTCAACTACAGTTAGTATAAACATCATTATGGTGTTTCACAGTTAAGCTTTAAGTTCACATCGAACCTCACGATTATTGTGAAAAGTGTTGTAATATTTACAGTTTGTATTAATTTAGGTCGTATTGATACTCGGACTCAAAAATATTTAAAGATGAGTCGCGTCCATATCGACTATATGGTTTTGGTGACTTCTAAAAGACATCTAGGAAGCGCTCTATACAATTGGTATTAAAATTCATAAAATTCTAACGACTAATATTAGCGCCTCTATGAAGTTACTGTTTAAATCAAACTTTGTATTTTTATGTATAAGTGACCTTCAGAAAAATATTTTTGGGGATATTCTTATCGTTTCTATTTGCCGCAAATTTAAGGTTTTACACTCTTTTTGAGTAGGTTTATTCCTCTATTCTTTGATTACTTTCCCATGCAGCCACATAAGCTCCAGTTTGCCTACGAATAAAAAATCAGATGAGAGTATATTCTTGTTGTTCACATTTTAAATGTATTCCACCTTTTCATTTCCGCACTTTCATAGATAAAATTATTTCACAATGTTTAATTATCTGCTATTAGGTAAAAATGTATTTTTAAATAGACATTTTGATACTTACTGAATTGAATAAAAAATTGATTTGGCCTCTTGATTTTCTACAATACTTATTTTACTACTTAATACTATCAAAGTAGTTACATTATAAGCAAAGATGGATAGTGGCTAGCAGTGGAATCCAGGACGCGCGTTTCGTCCTATTTGGGACTCGTCAGCTGGATGTACCTGCATCTGAGACCTGATGTTCACTCTGGGACTCGAACTCAGTACCGTTCGCTTCAATTGCCATCGCGTTATTCACTTAGCTACTGATTCCTGATAGCCACTTGCTTGTACAATGGGGTGAAGTTTAATTCACTTGGTATTGTTTTACTTGAATCTTCCCATTGATATGTTACGACTGAAATTGATCAGTCTCTTATTGGCATATGTGTATACTGTGCGTATGCCTCGATATTGTCTTAATTTACAAGCATTATAAGGAAAGATGGATAATGGCTGATCAATTTCAGTCGTAACATATCAATGGGAAGATTCAAGTAAAACAATACCAAGTGAATTAAACTTCACCCCATTGCACAAGCAAGTGGCTATCAGGAATCAGTAGCTAAGTGAATAACGCGATGGCAATTGAAGCGAACGGTACTGAGTTCGAGTCCCAGAGTGAACATCAGGTCTCAGATGCAGGTACATCCAGCTGACGAGTCCCAAATAGGACGAAACGCGCGTCCTGGATTCCACTGCTAGCCACTATCCATCTTTGCTTATAATGCTTGTAAATTAAGACAATATCGAGGCATACGCACAGTATGCACATATGCCAATAAGAGACTGATCAATTTCAGTCGTAACACATCAATGGGAAGATTCAAGTAAAACAATACCATGTGAATTAAAGTAGTTACAACTTTACAGGTATTTTTTATCCAAGAAATGATGTATCCTGCAGATTCAAAATTATACTATCAAACAACTAAGACAGATGTTAATAGATTTTTTGGGAGATACTGAATGCCAAACATTTTTGTTATATTTTACCTTTCAACCTACCATGGGTGTTTTTACTGGATATAAGTGGATAACTTTTATTTACTTGATACAAGGAGAAATGTAATAAAATATATTTGTTACATATAAAAATTTGCAAAATATACGTGAATTTGTTTCCCTAATTAACAGAAGCATGGATGGATTCGGACTTTTGATAAGGCTAATCGTATTCACAGCCAAGAAAGTAATCTGCAATAATTCCACTATTTCTTCACTGTGTGTCTAAATTTAAATGGTTCAGCAGGTAACTATTTTAAACTTGACGTTTGACTTGGCATGCATTAAATACAAAAGCATTCTGGGAGTAATATTCATATCAGTACAAATAATAAGGCTATCATCGAAGTATCTGGAGGAGTTTTTCCCAAGATCTCAGTTTTTTGTCATACTCTCAGATGGTCACATGAAATACTGTAATTGAACCAAACTCATAATTTGTAGTAATGCGACTTGTTTATATATAGTACTGAACAGTTTACAGTTATTCACTCTCGAAATGTTTCATATGTGTCAAGGATTCTCTTAGGTAGTATATAATGTAAATTAGGTACACAAATGATTTAGTGCATACAAAATTTG